ATTGTTTTTTTTGCCTGTTTTCATCAGAGAAATAGGATATTTCTTCAGTAGTATCGAAGGGAACACGACGGTAGATGAGTTTTTTAGTTGAGTGGCCACTCAACTTTAAGAGGCCTCTACGACTCCTCAAAATGTTCAGGACACATTTCTCTATCTGCTCTGATAATTTGAGAAAAATCTGTGACAGTTCATTGAGCAACTTCGTTCGTCTCTATCGTGCACTGCGTCCTAAGGAACTTTTTGTCGAAAAAAATTTTTTTTCGAATTCGACCTTTTTTACTTCTGCTAATATCTGACGCATAGTAAGATCATATTATGCCGAAATAATCATTTCCTAACTCCAAAAATCAGATGTTCGCCTGCTCTATGGGAAATGTCCACTGTGAGACCCCTTAAAGGGACGGTTTTATTTTAGGGTTTTTCTTCGACGGTTCGAAAGGTTTTGTTCCTATGGTTTTAACTTTTACGGTTTTACTTTCATTGTTTTTCTTTTATACTTTTGTATTGTACGGTTTTCATAATGTAGTTTTATACTTTATGGTTCTTCTACTCGGTTTTCTTTCAATGGTTGCGGATTTTACAGTTTTTCTTAAGATTTTTTTCCACCGTGTGGGTTTTGAAGATTTTAAAAATCGATCAAAATTCCTAGTTTTTATTAGTTATTCTCAGTCTAACGGATTGCTGCCTTCTTCACGTTCTTTCTTCTGATATATTTGAAGTTCAGTTTCAGTCTACGTTTGACTTTTCATAATTGTTAGATGAGTAGTGAAAGTTCAAATTTTCAGCCCTTAAAGTTACGTCCTTACAATCAAGAGAACAACTACTTTTATTCGAACAAATTGAGTGAACAATTGTTGAACAAATTGAATTGCTTCATATTATATTAAATTCTGTTGATAGCCGATAAAGAAGAAAATGAACGAACTTGAGGAAAGTGATCCATCAACATTACATTTAAATTTTGCAATGTCGTCAAATCATAATGATAATAAACGTTATCTTAACCATTCAATCGTCGCTATTTATACAAAAAATGTTAAAGAAACAGAAATTCTATTTGACAATATCAAAGATAAATGTCTTTTTTTTCATACAATTCATTATTATAAAACGTATATTAGTTCAATTCAAGACGAAAAATTAGTTTTGATTTTATGTGATATTAAAGATATAGAGGATCTCCAATTTTTCTGTACAGAATTTTTAGATAGAAAAACAAAATCAAAAATTACATACTTGTACTATTTCAAATCCGATATTAAATATAACATTAATCTACTAAACTATCAAAAAATTCATTATTTTCGTGTCCATTGTGAATCTTACAGAGAGATTTCGAAGTAAAAAACATACTTAAAATATTATTGAATTTTTATGTCAATAATTCTTCATTGTCATAAGTCAAACATGATGATACGATATGTCAAGATCAATCGCCTGTTGTTATATGTTATGAATCAGGTGTGGCTAGAAATGAAAGAAAATCTCGTTTGAAAGCAATTCAGTCATTTATTGCTGCCGCGGATGATAATCATATTTATTCCCGATTAAAAAACTGGATATTTTTTACCAAATCTGATAAATATCATAATTATGTGAAATCGGTATCGACAAAAAATATTATAATAATAATACTAAGTCGTTCGTTGTCAACTGATCTATTATTGTTACAAATGATTAAACATCCTCATATCTACTTGAGATCACAGTTAAAGCAGATTTATGGTTTACATTTGACGCATGAACGTCATACTAAACGATTATGGATAGCGGGTCAAAAAGAAATTCATTATTTTACTGATAAAAATGTTTTATATTCAAAATTAACAGAAAATATTACTGAATATACTGATAGAGACGTCATTGTTGAAAATGATAATTCTCAAATGTCATTAAGAGATGCAAAAAAAATTAAGTTTGAAATTTTAACAATTGTTATAAGTCAAATAAAACAAACCTATGAATCAAAACAAGAAATGTTAGCAGAATGTCGATCATATTACAATCATGAGAAAGATCGCAATGAAGCTCAGCTAAAGATGATTGATCAATTTGAACGTGAATATATATCTGATCGAGCGATTTATTGGTTTACACGAAATTGTTTTTTATATCGTATAGTAAATTATGTAGGCCGAACAGAAAACATTGATCTACTTTATTCATTACGATATTATATAAGCGATCTACAACGACAATTAGAACAATTGCATTTGACATCGCCAGTTGTTACACCATTAGTGGTGTATCGTGGTCAAGTGATGGATCGTAATGAATTAGAAGAATATAAATATAATATTGGTAATTATTATGCAACAAATACATTTATGTCAACCACACGATCACAAGATGTAGCTTTGACTTTTGCTGGGGATGAGTATAGCGACAAAGAACGAGTTTTATTTTATATGACAATTGATACACATGAAAATATGCCATCATTTGCTTCAATAAAATATATCAGTGCTATGCCTGACGAAGATGAAATATTACTATCCATAGGTTTCACATTTAAAATTAATTCAGTTCAAAAATCAACAACATCAAATATTTGGATCATAAAAATGGTAGCTGCTGCTGATATAGATTACATGACAGCTAAAATGAAAAAAGAATTTCACCAATTTCATATTGATATTCAGACAGTTCCATCATTACTCATGATCGGAAATTTACTATTACAAATGGATGAAGTAGAGAAAGCAGAGCAATATTATCGTATGTTTATTGAAACAGAATCATTGCCGAATTCAACTCACCTAATCAATGCATATAAAGGTATTGGTCATGCTTGTATAAAACAATGTCAATATTCAACAGCATTAGAGAACTATGAATTAGCAATTCGAATATGTCTTGAACATTTTGATGGTGATAAGCATTCATTAATTCGTATAAATTATCAAAACATTGCTGACGTATATCTGTCAATGTTCGATTACAAATCTGCTATTAATTATTATGAAAAAATGCTAGCATTCATAAAATACGAACAAAGTATACCTTATAGACGACAATTAGAATGTATAACATATCATCGAATTGCTCTTGCTTATACTCGACAAAAAAATTATTTAACAGCAATTGATTATCACAAACGATCAGTTCATTTACAACTGACCCATGGTTCATATGATTGGCTTCTTTCAGGTACTTATTATTTACTTGGATCTACATATGAATTAAATGATGAGTATAAATTAGCGAAAGATTTTTATGAAAAAGCATATGAAATTGAACGAAATGAAATTTACTATGAATACGTAATAAAAGTAGAACACAAAATTAAAGAAAAAGCAGAAAAAATACGTAAAAAAATTAAAGAGTTTTCCTGGGCCATAATTGTGGGCGTAATTTTCGCTTCATGTATGCTTTGTTTGATGGCCTTGATGATTCGTTATGTACCATCAAATGTCATTATTACATTTTATGTTCTTTTGTTTACACTATCGGTCATTCTCGTGATATTTGTATTTCTTTATGATGAATTACATTCCTCGGATGATTATATTGAATCGGTAATAAATCGTATATCCGGAGGATTATACATGAAATTATACCTTGAAAGATGTCGCAAAAATTGGATACCATCATTGTTGTGTATTATTTACGTCATTTTCTTCTATACAGAAGAAATGCAATACTTCAGGATCCATTTTATTCTAATGATAACATATCATCATGTATTCACCAGCTACACTAATTATGCTACATTAACTTATTTAATTCTTTTCAGATTCATCAAACCTTGGCCTATTAAATTATTATGCTATCTCATCGTTAATTATGCTCTTATCCCGATAAAAGAAAACCAACTAATAAGAAGAATATTTTGAAAATTCTTTCAACGATCTATTATTGTTCTGCTTTTAATGTATTTTTGTCTTTTTTCTTTTAAAATACAAAGTTGACAGAAAATAAATTGTGTAAACTATCTTTGTATTTGTCCTGATTATTTTTACCTGTTGATTAACAGTCTGGATACAATATTTTCCGTTATTCCTGAAATAGAATAAATTTCGTATTCAAGTTTTAAAATTTAAGCGTAGAAGTTTATTTTTCTTTAAATTAAGCTTAGTACTCATGATAATAGAAATAAGAACGAACAAACCATTTTTCGAGGAAAAGAACGAACGAAAGATTAGATAAGAACGTAGAATATAATTATAATTAACGGGTGCTGCAAAAGTTCTGATATAATTTTATTTTCACTATAGTATTTTACAGAAACATCGTAGAGACTTTATCCTTTTTTTTGTTAGAAAGAGCAAAGTATTTAGTACAAAAATATGTAAAAGTGTTTGATCGAAAATGTTTTCTTAAATTCGCAAAAATTTTAGAACAAAAGGCATCGGAAGCTATTCCGCAACCTTTTCAAATTTAGAAAAAAACTCCATCGAATTAGAAAGGCTATCTTTTTATTTGTTTTATTCCAAGATTTATAATGTAATGATAGAGCACTATTGCTGCATAAAAATAAATTTTTTTCGTTTCATAATGGTCGAAATGAGCGCTTTTATAACATCTTGTGTTACCACTGACTTTTCATCACTGTCGAAAACAGAAATTCTACCCCTAGAGGGAAGTTGTCAGAAACTATATACTTCACATGAAAAAGAAAGCTTATTGAGTCCTCTACCAAACGATATTATTTAGAATAGAACACATCTGCTCTTTGAGATACTAGGACAAAAACTTCTTTTACGTTGTAAACGCCAAATTGAGTTTTTGATCAAACGGTCTTCTGTTCAGTCTCTTGTACTCAAGGCCAACTTTTTTAATATTATATGACAGCCTTCGTTATGATGAACAACTTCCTATATATAGTGCTCGAAAACATCGAAAGTGGATAATGAAATAGGTCAAACAAATGTATTTGAATACAAAAATTGTAACCGAAGTTGCACAACAGTTTTCCGATGCCTGTTGTTCTAAGATTTTCGTGACCTTCGGGAAACACTTTTATATATTTTTGTACTAAACACTTTGTTCTTTCTAACAAAAAAAGGATAAAGTCTCTACGATGTTTCTGTAAAGTACTGTAATAGAAATAAAATTATATCAGAACTTTCGTAACATCCGTTAGATAGCAGTTATATTTCAAAATATTCTATTCATTTGATGCGTTAAGAAATAAATAAATATTAGTTTCGTATTTGTACGAACTGTTTAAAACAAATTTGTCATTCGTAGAAGCTTTGTAATATCAAGATAATTATATTAATGAGTAGTCAAGTGAAAGTTAATAATAATAAGGTCACAACACCCATGATATTATGTTAAGAACTTTGTAAGAAAACTAAATCATCATTCAATAATATCACAATCAAAATATCACCAAATATTTCTGAATTTTGGCACCTATCGTTTGTGTGTTTCTGATTGCTTCTGATGGCAGCTGCCGCTTATTGATCCAATCGATTGTCAACAAAGTCATGGATGCAGTTACGACGAGTCGTTTTTCATTTACAGTATTAGAGAAAGCTATCTAGATACATAACGGGGATATTTCGGTTATTTCAATGAGGTCGTGAAGGCAGCTGATTATTTGATAGTGATGCAGAGTAGTATTACGATGACGAAAATTTATCTATTTGTTACAATAATGTGATTAATGCATATTCGGCATCTAAAGATGATTATAAAATAGCCATAAAATATCATAATAAATCATTAGAATTAAAAATCAAAACGAACGGCGGTAATAGTTTGGAAGCCGTTAAATCCTTCTTTAACATTGGTCTAACAAATTATCATGAGATCTTGATAAAAATATGAAATTGCACTCAAAAAATTTAACCGATCATTAAGAATAATTCGAATAATACAAAGCAACATATTAGCTACTAATTCGTTCCATGATGCACAATTCAGCAGCGATTTTCTACTTTCTTGAAAACGTGATTTTCAAGAATTTTACCTCTTTCATAAAACCTGTCTGGATTTTCTGGAAAATCAATTCAAATTTTTGGAAAATCGCCATTGCTTTTCAGAAAATCAAAAGCAAGACTCTAGAAAATAAATCGATTTTGCATAAAATCAACGATGCTATTTAATATTAAAAATCATCGACGAATCATCGACGTATGTGGACAAGTTGAAAATCAAAAATGGAATATATTTTCAAAGAAATTGAAAATCTAGAACGATTTTTTACAATTGTTCAGCGTCCCTCTTGTTTAAATCTTTTTTCGTTTCTTTTCTTTAGATAGAGTCCAAGAAAGATTTACTGAGGACAGTAAAACGATGTTTTAATACAGGTGAATGAATAGGAACTAATTAGTTCTATCCCATCAATTTTTTACCAGAATAAAATACATACAGCAGAAGCATTTCTTAAAGATGGGACCAAAGACTTACGACATGGTTATAAGAAAGGAATATGTTCGTAAACATATCTCTTTGTTTCTTAATTTCGTTAGCACTACTCTGTACGTTTTTAACGAAGGAAAGGGCATATTAAGGAATTAATCAGTTAAGCTTTCTTTTTTTTAAATGAAAGAATATGTCATAATGCAGTTACAGTTTCGAAATATGAATCATGAGTAAGACAATCAAAGTGACGGAATGAATGATATATCGTTCAAATTTTAATACTGCGTGTTTCTTTCGTTTAGAAGAAGAATATATTGACTCTTTTCTAAACCAAAAATAAATAACAGATAATATTGCATAATATCCTAAAAACCATCATCGACGTAAATGGGAAATAAACGTTAACAATGTATAGATGTAGGGGAACATTCGTCCGAGTATGCGACTGAGACATTAATCAAAGGAATTTGGGTATCTCATCAATCAGAGATTGACTGAAACAACTAAAAAACTTCTGTGTCCTTACAGTACTTACCCTCTCTACATCTTCTCGTTTGACTGAAAAATGCCAGCGAGTTCCTTTCAAATTCACAGAAAATAAAGACCATTTTTCAGAAAATAAATTTTATTTCATAGAAAATTAAATGCTGCTTCTGAAAAATCAGTCGACTCTTCGATTTTAAAGAAAGTCAGAAAACGTTTTCTATTACTTGAAGAATCAAGACGATTTTTTCGAACTATTTTGAAAATAAAAATTCTTGAAAATCGACTCGATTTTTAACAAAGTAGAAAATAAGCATTTTCACTATTCTTATCAAATTGTTCACGATTCCATAAAAGCTCCAAAATCATTTCGGATTTTCAAAGCCGATTCTTTATAAATTAGAAAAAAACCCAAATTAACAGTGTCTTCATAAAAATATTTAAAGAAAGCGTTTACATTCACGAATAGTATATAGGTTGTCATTTTTAGAGTAGAGTGCAACTAAAGTGGAACATTTTTTCCGATTTTAAACCAGTCAACAGTAGTGATATTCCTGATAAACATTTTGCGTCACCATTAAATTGAACTAAACTCCAATTCGTCAAAAACACACTTTGAATTTTGTAATATTCCTTTGCCCATTGTTCAAGTCTTGGTATATTCAAATAAGTGGCAGTTTTTCCGTCATATAGTACCTGTCAATATTTTTATGTTAAATCCTATTTATCTTCTCGCTTTCTAATCTTGGACTGGCCTTCGGTTGATGGTTCTTTCACGATTTTAATAATTGGATAACAACTGTTGCTGTTACGAAATGTAATTTTTTGGAAATCGTGCTCATTAGAGAACGGTTGATCGACGCTTATCTCCATATATTTTCTAGAGGAATCACACCGTTTATCACTGTAAACCGAGCAATGCATAGCTCCTTTTCATTACAGATACATTGTAAGTTTCCTACTGTACACGTTTTTCCATTATTACTCAATATAAACGTGTTTGGTGCCGGTGCTTTTTTGCACTCCTCGAAGGCTCAAACTGATTCAGTGCTGGTATTATCCAGTATTCGAGTTGATCAATACGACGACACAAATCCATTATAATACATTCTTGTCTTGCTGAATCATCCAACTGGACTTTGTTTAAACAAACTTTAAAGTTCCATGCGCGAGACAGGCCGTGAGCGATGACATAATTAACATGTAACTCAAGTTTTTTATTCACCATCTCTGCTGTTAGTGTACTTTTCATCAATGATTCGTTCAGTTGACATTCTTTTAGTAATAAATCCTTTAATAAATCAAACAAATTATTTGCTGTTTCAGTCAAACCATTTGAGAGTGTATTACATTCAATTCAACTGATTTATATTGTTGTTTTGAAAGAAGATGTTCAGCACTGGTTACTAGTGATTTCGAATCAATTTCAAGTTTTATTTTATAGTAATCACATATCCCACTGTAGGAGTGAGTTGTTGTTGCTATTATTGCTGCCATTCTTTTTCTTGATTATTAAGAAAAACTTATTTGATTTTGTTTTGCATCTTCTTATGTATCTTGACGGATAACGGAAGTCATTTCACAGCCAAAATGATCGATGAATTATTTCAACAAATTGGCGTTACTCATTTATATTCAACACCATATCATCCACAAACCAACAGCCAAATTGAACGATATAATTCAACGATGGATGCCAAAATTGCAGCATTATCAAACGAACAAAATACCGATTGGGATGATCAACTCCCTTTTGTTACATTCAATTATAATACCGCGCTTCATGCAACAACAAAACAAATTCCATTCGAAATGATGTATGGGCGATCTCCGATCCTTCGTTTTGATCATCAAGACCAACCGTCTCGCTCACACAAGACCCAAAGCATTGTAATAAATTAAATAAATATTTGTCGTCATTAACCGAAAAAGCCAAGCAAAACATCTCGAAAAGTCAGCAGCAATATAAACAACGATATGATGCTAATAGATCAAACCCAAAGTACAATATTGGTGATCTCATTCTCGTTAAAACACAAACGAGGATTGAGTGTTTTAACGAGAGGTTTGAGTATTGGGTACCCAAGTCTCGGACTTGGGTTTGGGTATTGGGTCAGACTTGGGTTATTAAAAGACTCCTTTTAGCTGAGATACCTTCTTTTGCTGTGGCTCTTTGAGAAAACAGGATGTAAGATGTTTATTTCGGCCTGTGGACATACGTAATGTCTAATGCTAACGATAAGAGCTCATTTTGGATTAGTTCAAATATCCAACAGTTGAATGTTTTATTCTACTTATCTTGTTCATATCATCCTCATCCTTGAAACAGAGAAAAATACTAAAAAAATAAGCACTGGTAACATGCCACAAATATGTTAACAAATGGTCGGTGAACACTATAAAAAATGATATAAAAGAATAGGGAAAACTAAAGAAAAAAAGTGAAGTTTTGAAAGCGAAAACAGCGACGATGAAGAGAAAAAGATAAATGAATAGTATGCCAGAAGAGCGTAAGGTACTACTGCTAAGTTTCATTGAAGAAGAATATTAATGTACTTTGGCAACTGATCCAAACCCAAACCCAATACACCCAAGTCGCTTGGGTTTGGGTTTGTAACATACCTACTGAAGAATACAACAGTAGATTAAAAATATGTTGTTGTTTATATACAGTAGTTTGTGGAAGGATTACCTCGTATGGAATTCTTTTGGTAAGAGCTTATTTATTTTCAGGCCTCTTCTCTTGCGGTTAGCAGGTAGAAGAGGCTGAATTAGGTATATGAAAAAAACTACCATTTGTTCCAAGAACTCAATGTAAGCCAAAACATTAATTTTTTCCACCCAATTCCGATTTAACCGTTGACCTATCTCGTTTCGTTATCTGCGAAAGAGACCGCATCAGATCAGTTTTATTTGATCTGACCAACCACCTTTCTCTGTATGATGTGTCCGGCAGACTGCGCTTTGAAATACCGAGATTGTAGTAAATCATATTGTATAAAGAGTGTCCTACAAGTTCTGAAACGATTTCTAGAACGATGAATTTACAAATCGCTTCAGAAAAAGAAGTTCCTTACTATACCAAACGATAGATAATTTGATTCTCTACAAGATTGTATATTCATTTTTAAGATGCATATTTGATGTTTAGCACAGTAAGTCTAACAGGAAAAGGTCCAAATTGTTTAACTGCATAACGCAATTTTAAAGTGCAAACTGCTCTCTTTTTTAAATTGCTTATAATGAGTACAACCGTTTGGCACTATACAAGAGTTCTTTGCGAGTTTTCGTTTTCGTCTACACTTTTATTCTCTTTGAGAAATTTCCCCATCTTGAAATCGAGTCAAAAAAAAAAGGATTTGTATTTGGGTGTCTAAAAGCAAACGCATGTAATTTTGTTCTTAAGGTATAGCTAATGGGCTAGCTACTTTAACAGAGGCTGTTACCACTTTTTGAATAGAACTTTTTAAGAAATTCTTTTAAAATTTTCATGTCTAAGAAGAAAAAAATGAAAAGAAAAATGACATCAAATACAACGAAAGAAAAAGGTGATGGCTGCTTTTCTTCGATACCAGTATACCACAGCTGATTTAATATAAAATACTGCAATAGTTTCAACTGCAATTTGTTTTTGCTTTAAAAATGTTGATACTCTTAATCGTGAAATCTCCTCTAGAAAATTTTGATAATACAAATTATCTAGTTCTCTTTTTGTTTGGAACCAGAGCTGATCACCTGCATTGTAAACTGCCTGCAACCTGCAGGCAGTGCAGGCAGGTTGCAGTTTGCAGGTGAACGAAAAAATTTTCCACTAACGGCCGGCAGATAAAGAAGAATGTTTTCCTGCCT